GTAGAGACAGCCACATAGTTCTCTGTATCCTTCTTGGTACCTGTCACAGCGCCCAACATGTAGTAGGACTTCAGCCAACATTTGCTGAATAAACCTTTTAACACGTTCGTTTGGCCTGCTGTGCACCTTCTTCCCCTTCTTCCCTTAGTTCCTCAGTTGGTCAGAAGTCTCACACACAGCCTGTCCCTCTCTTAATTCATTCGTCTGGCTCCCATCCCTATGTGCCCTCAAACTGCCCATTTGAAAGTTAGCAGTAACCTTCTCAAGTCAACAGCATCTATTTATTAAATGTCTACTGTGTGCCAGGCACCAGGGATAGACAGAAAGCGGGGAAATAATAACAGCCAACTCCCCCACTGCCCAGTCCCTGTTATCGGGGGTTGGGGATTCACAGTCTGGTGGGGGAGACGTACAGTCAGAAAAAGGTGGAGCTGATTGGCAGATGGAAGGCAGGAGGGGGCATTGAGGGGTCTGGGAAAGGCTTCCGGGAGAAGGCGGGCCTCTAGGTGAGATGTGAAGGGAGCCAAGGAGCCTGGGAGGGGGGAGAGTCAGTTGTGTTCAGACTAGACTGTGTCTCCGAAGCTCCTTCTATCTTTGGCACTGTGAGCTTAGAATTAACCCTGCGTGAAGCCTTAAAAGTGTTATTTCCCGTTGGGTTTTTTAAAACGTGTATTAATTTTAACAAGTGAGTAAGGGAAATGTTCTCTTTCAAATAGTCTCTGTATTCCTATGTGACGTGGCTGCCCTGGCCCACTGTCTGAGGGCCATTGGAGATTCCCTCTTCTCTGCCACTGGCATCAACTGTATTTCCCCATTTTTAAGGGCCCCAGTTCCATTTAACCACTTAGCATGAAATTAACTTTGACGGAGCAACTTTAATGCACACATTCTCCCCAGGACATTGGGGATGCCATCCTGGACCATCTGGGTCTGTGGGGAGGGGAGAGGGATGAAGTGCCCAGTTGAGCTCCCCGAGTTCAGGTTCTGGTTACCCCTTCTAGCCACCTCCTCCCTGTTCTCATTGTCCTTAGGGCTCTGTGACACTTGACCCTGCTGGCCAGCTCTGCTGTGGCAAAACTCTTTCATGGCTTGGCTTTTCATCACTGTCCTGCCCTGGGTCAGCTCCTCTGATGCCTTCTCTGTCTCCTTGCCAGCTCCTGTTACTTCTCACACCCCCGGCCCCCAGGTGTACTCAGCCCTGGGCCTTTCTTTTGCCCTTGCTGGGCTGTGGCTGTCCAAACATTTCTCTGTCTCAGTGCTCCCACTGTTTTTGGAGAGGGACTGGAGCCCCTACATCGAGGTTCAGGGCTTGACTCTGGGACTTCTTAGCTGTGTGACCTTGAGCAGGCTGTGGAATCTTTGATCCCAAGTGTCGTCCATCTCTAAAATGGGGATGGAGAGAGAGTCTAATATAGGGGATGGATCTCTGGCCTTGGAGTCCTTCAGACTGTGTGGACAAGGTGCTAACCTCTCAGTGCCCCGGGTGGCTTTCTAAGACGAGAAAGGAGAACAGGTCTGGGCTGGTTTGATAGGAGTGTCCTCCCTGAGTGCTCGCTACCCAGTGAAAGCACAGGTGTGGAGAACAGATGAAGGATAACACTTGTATGACCTGGAGGATTCACAAAGGGATATGAGGAAAATACTTGTTAAACTTCGGAGTCTTAAAGAACTATGAGTTACCGTGTGGATGACACCACCTCTACGTGGCCAGCCCCTCTTTCTGGCTTCTCTCTTGGGTCTCCTGTTGCTTCCTGGATATGGCTGTCCTGGTGTCATCTCAAACTCAGTGCACCTCACAGCGAGCTCACTACCTTAGTTGTACACGACTGAATCACGTCACACCCTGCCCATGGTCACTTGGCTAATTCAGGCTGCTAAATATTTACCGTGCCGCTGTGAGCCAAGCATAGCCCCCGGGGGGTGACCACACAAGTAGATACCAGATGGGTGCGTTCAGGAGGGAGGGAGCCCTGCCAGTGGAGGCTTCTCCGTCTTTGCCTCCCCCCAGGGAGAGCCGAGGTTGACTCCACACCTTTGTGGTCTTTTCCACCCCTGACACCATTGCCGCCTCTCCACTTTGTGCTTCTGTGGTGGTAGGAAACTGCTTTCTCCGGGTCTCATAGAAGTGGAGTAGAACGTGACTGAAAATGGGGTTGGAAAGGACCTCAGCTCCCCTGGAAGGACACCCCGGCGGCTGCGGGGGGACCCCGTGCCTGTTGCTTTTCACTTTGCTCAGGTCTGCCTCATCCTCAGTCAAACAGCCTCAGTTCGGTTCAGTCCAACCAACACTGATTAAACACTCGCTCTGCGGAGCACTCTGCTGAGTGGTCCTCGTCACAGGGGGGTTCACAAGGACGTCTGGGAGAGAAGGTCACCATTGAGTAGCAATGGCTTCCCAGAACACGAGTCACCTGTACTGTTGGCAGGATGGTACAAGAGACATTGCAGGCCTAGGAAACAGCTGGGGAAAGAAAACAGAGGTGTCGGGCCGAGCTCACGGTGTCTTCAGAGACAGTCAGCAAGCATGTATTAAGTGCCTGCTGTGTGCCAGGCACCGTGCTAAGTGCTAGGGACACGAAGACAGGAAGGCAAAGGTAGCCCTTGCTTTCAAGGTCCCGGCCTATTGGTGGAGTGTGTGTATGTGTGTGTGTGTGTGTGTGTGTGTGTGTGTGATACTATTTGTAAAGTATTTAGCTCAAAGCCTGGCACATAGTAGGTGCTACATAAATGTGTGAGTTTTTGTTCTTTTGAAGGATTTTAACAACTGAACACAGAATCTTATATTCGGTCCTAGAGATACTAAGGAGCCACTAGAGTTGGAAGAGGCTGGGCATCTCAGTGGGTAGAGTGCCTGGAGGCAGGAAGCCCTGAGTTCAAATCTGGCCTCAGACACTTCCTAGCTTGTGATCCTGGGCAAGTCGCTTAACCTCTATTTGCTTTAATCCACTGGAGAAGGAAATGGCGAACCACTCCAGTGTCTTTGCCAAGAAAACCCCATGGACAGCATTCGTGTGCTGGGGTCCATGTGGTCACCAAGAGTCAGACGGGACTGAACAATGACATTTGAGTAGGATGTTGGCCTGGTCAGACCTATGCTTGAGGAAGATCCCTTTGACTGTTGAGTGGAGGATGGGCTGGAGTGGGGGGAGACAGAGGCAGGAAGGCCCACTTCTGTTCTTCACAAGGCGGCCTGAAACTCAGGCCGAGCAGAGTCAGCCTACCTGTCCGTTGTTCAGATGGCAGCACGTTAAGTAACTGATAGAGCAAGAATGACTAGTCTGGGGTCCCCAGGCCCTTTGGATGGATTTCAGGAAGTCTGTGAACTTGGATGGGGAAAAATGACGTCTTTCTTTCAATACCATTGTTTTCCTGTGAACTTTGTATTTTGTTGTGCGCATTTAAAATGGTGATTCTGAGAAGGGGGCTTTGCTAGCTTGACCGCTTGCCCACGGCGGCCAGGGTTCCCTGAAGGCAAAGAGCCCCGGAATGGTGAGTTCTCTTGCCTTGGCCACAGCCACGGCTTAGCCACATAGCAACCTGCTGTTCCCGGGGAGTGACCAGAGCTCTCAGCATCCTCTAGACCGAGCTGTGAACTTGGGCTTGGGGTGGCTTGCTCAGAATGGGTGGGCTGTGGGGGTACCGGCCCGATGAGGGCTTGAGGACCCGCCCTGCTCTCAACAGATAGGTAGCTGCATTTCCCGTTAGTTTGGGTAGAATCTAGGAATCCAGAAGCCCGTACGCTGTAGATCTTCCGCTGAGTTACTCTTGCTTTGTTCTGTGTGACCCTAGAGGCCTTCGTGGGATCATAGAACCAGTTTATCCCACCTACTCTCAGAAAGCTGAAGCTCCCAAGCCAAGGAGGGATTTGTCGAAGGTCTCATAGCAAATTAGTGATAGCACTGTTATGGGCTCTAAACCAGTGCTCTGGCCTGGGCCAGGACACCCAGTGATCTCAGTCCAGTATGGGGGGACGGGAGTCTGAAGGCCAGTGGGTCCCATGGAACAGCAGAACTTCCCACTAGGGGCTCATTTCAAGCGATTCAAAGATTCTCCTTCTCACATGTGCCTTAGTTGCTATTACAAATAACCTGCAGGGTGGGGAAGGCGACATGTGGACTTCAGGTCCTTGGGTGGGGCCTTTTGATTGAGTCCAAGTTTCACAGAACAAATCTCCCTAATTAAAGGATTTGGATTCAGTCAAAGGGCCACACTTGAGGACCTAGAGGGCCACATGTGGCCTTGAGGCTGCAGGTTCCCTACCCCACCTGGCAGGGCAATAGCCATGGGCCTAACGCCATGATGGGCCTAGCAGGCTGAGGCTCGTCCCAGGGCTGACTGCCACTCCACAAGTGGTATGAAAGCCATTTTTGGAAAAGGAGACGGGCAGATGGTCATGTAGTAGGAGTGAGAAGCGGCAGATGGCCCCTCAAGGGCTGCCCTGGCACTCCAGAGAACAGACTGCAGCATTCTGGGAGGATTCTTTGTGTGGGGCTTAGGGAAAGATGCAGACCAGAATTTGACAGGCTAAGGGCTGGTGGAGAAGTAGCCAGCTGGCAGGGGCATTCCTCAACCCCGGACAATGATAGGCCCAGCCAAGGAGCCCCATCATCAGCTCCATCAGTCAGGCCACAGCTGGACCAGGGGGGTGGGCCAGGGAGTATGTCGATCCAGGCACATCCAGCTTGCCCAGCTACAGAAAGGAGGTGGGACAGGAAGTGTTGGGGTGAAGAAACAAAAGCAGGCCCTCTCGCTGTGTGGGCTGGGGATTCTGGTACAGAGCCCCAGGTGAAGTTTTAGCATCTAGGGCATCTTGGATCCTCTGGGGAGCAGAAAGATGAAATGCCAGGCATTTCATAGTCAACTTTGCCTCGCTGACTTTGACTGTCAGCTCAGAAGGAAGGAGGGCCCGTCGCTAAGAATTCTCTTTCCTGAATAAAAGTACCCAAGCTTCTGAATGTCTCAGTTTCCCTTTGTGCTAAACTCATCCTTTTGCCTTCCAGCTCCGAAGGATGCAGGAGATGATTGCGCAGATGCAAGCCCAGATGCGGATGAAGCCTGGGGAGGAGTGAGGGCCTCTGTGCACAGCAGCACAAGGTAACTTTCTTTTTCCCCCCAGCGTTGGAGGTACCAGAGCTTTATGACTTTTTAACCATGTGGTTTTGTTGCTGTCAATACTGGATTTGTGAAGAAGAAATAGTCTCAGTAAAAGTGTATGTAGAGGGCAGAACGAACTTCAGATTTTGTAAATTTTTTAAAACAAAGAAAACTTGTAAACCTTGGTTTGGCAGGGCTTGGAGAGAGCCATGCACTCACACATGTGTATTCTGAGTTGGTGGTGTTGCCCTGGAGGCCAGTCTGGCAAGATACAGGAAGCATCCTAGAATGGGCTGTGACCTGGTGATCCAGCCACTGGGGAGTACAGATGCTCCAGGGAAATAATTAAAAAGAGAAAAAAAGCACTGGTACAAAGGCGTCTGTAGCTGTGTGTTAGCAATAGTGAAAAATCGAGAACCCCGAAGTGTCCGACTCTCGGGCACAGACTGCAGACTGTTGTGACCCAGGCACTGTCGGTCTCCAGTGTCCTAAACATAGGGAAGGACAAGGAACAGACCCCCCAGGGAGAGGCCCCTCCAGGATCCTGCCATGTGAGCAAGGTAGAATGAGGGTCTCTGAATGTTCTTCTTCACTAATGACTTTTTTTTATTGTTGGCCCTAAGCCTGGATACTTAACTAAGCCTGTAACTATCCATTCATACTGGGAAAACAAAGTGGATGAAAAGCGTGGCCTAGATTTTGATGTACAGCTGGAAGAGCAGCCCGTCCATTGATACACATGTCTTGGGGAGGTGTTGGGTCCAAAGTATGGGGCAGTGGTGGGGCTAGGATTGCATCTGGGAAATTGTATGGCACTGTGCTAGGCCTCCACTCTTAGGGAGGGGGAGAAAATTTAGAACTCAAAATCTTGTGGAAGTGAATGTTGAAAACGAAAAATAAATTAATTAAATTTAAAAAAAAAAAGAAGTGGGCATTCTGAGAAGAACCAGCCAATCAGAGGGAGAGGCTGCAGGGGCAGTGGGCACTTTCAGTGTGTGAAGTGTAAAGGGGAGTCAGGTCCTGCCAGACACAGTTGGAAACCCTTCCCCAACCTGAGGAACCTGAATCTTTTTTATCTCCAGGATGTACCAGCCTTGGTGTCAAAGACCTGGGTACTGAGGTGGGTAAATAGGAAGGTAGAACCCTAAGACTGACACCCCCAACCAGGTACTGTCACCCCCTCTCCTTGCAGGAGCAGCCCCTCTGCCTCCTTGACCATGGGTCCTAGACCCAACGCTTCTCCTCTCCCGGGGGAGAGAGTTGGCCCACTGGCCACGCTGGCTGCCCATGGCATCTACTAACAGAGCAGCCCTTCGGGTGTCTGGCTTAGTAAAGGACTGTTGCTTTGCCCTCCCTTCCTGGAAGCCTTGAGGTAAGCTCCCTGAGGGCAGGGCCTGCCCCACTCCTGTCTTTGTGTCACTAGTACCCGAGGTGCCTCCAGCACAGAGCAGGCCCTTCCTTAGGAGGATGGAGCAGAGAAAGCATTCGAGCTTTATACTGTCGTCTCTAACAAACTTTATACCATCGTCTGTAACAAAACAGTCATGGAGCTCGTTTGCTCCGTTTCTCCCGGGGGCTGCTTCGCTTTGGTTACCATTGTTGGCGTGTGTGTATGGCACCTCCGTGCTTGGGCCACTCATGGCTCCTCTCTAGGCCTTGGTTTCCTCCTCCATACGATGAGGGACTTGGGCTCCACTGCTTCGGAGGCTCCCTTCTCAGATCTTGAGCTACGTACGCGTAGTCGTGCTTCGCGTGTGTGGTCTTCTGATGGACGTGCGGGCGTGCTTCGCGTGTGCGGTCGTCTGATGGACGTGCGGGCGTGCTTAGCGTGGTTGGTCGTCTGATGGATGTGCGGGCATGCTTCGCGTGTGTGTTCTGATGGACGTGCGGGCGTGCTTAGTGTGTGCGGTCGTCTGATGGATGTGTAGTTGTGCTTAGCGTGTGCGGTCATCTGGACGCTCTTGTCCTCACTTCATGGTACTTGGTGGAGTTTTCCCCATTTGTCGTTTTAATGGCACATAGGTACTCTATCATGTTGGGAGAGCACGGTCTCTTCAGACTCTGCCAGGACTCTAGGCATGAAGGTTGTTCATCATTTGCCGCCATTTCACATAAAGCTGCTAGCCATCATTTTGGGCAGATTGGTCACTTTTTCTCTTAATGTCACCCTTAGAATTGAGTGAAAGCTTTGGGACAGATAGGATCAATTTCTCCCCAGCTCCATCAGAATGGAATTTTTAATGGAATATTGAGCCAATTCTATGTTTAAAAGTAAGTAGCATCATAAAGATGTTTTCATTTCCCCAGAGGAATGATGAGAGCAAAGAAAGGTGATTGGATTTAGTTTGGGCCCTCCCTGTGGTCTCACTGAATCCTGGGTCACTTGAGGGCTTTGAACACCCTTGATAGCTGCCGATTTAATTTCTGTTTGAGCTGCTGTGGATTTCCCAGGAGTTTTGATGGAGGGCTGGGGGGGGTGGTCTTTGGTGCATCTCAGGTGCCCTGTGTGTGGCTGGATGGCCTTCAGGCATGCATTCTGGGTCTCACTGGGCAGGCTGGGGAGCCTGTGAACTGTCAGCACCTTTGCTCCGGCCTCAGCTCTCTGAGAAGGCTCCCTCCTTCTCACCTGGGCTACTTCCAGATGTTCCCCTCCATCCGCAGCTGCCCACATCAGCCTCCTGAGGCACAGGCCCTGCTGAAGGTCACTCAGGGGCCTGCGCAAACAGTCCCATGCCCACATCAAGAGGAGGAAACATTCTTTCACAGAAGGAAGCGTGAGAAACTCCTCTATTCTTGCCCTTGTCTTCTCTCTCTAGGAAAAATATGCCTGTCTGGCAGCCAGTTTCCTGGCCCAGATTGGCTTTTTACATGTTGAACATTTCAGAATGGGACCTCATTTGAAGTTGTTCTTTTTATGCCCTACACTTAAAATTCTGTTTAAAAAGAATTGGTTTTCAATTTTATGAACACAGAAACGAGAGGAAACCCCACAAATATCCTACTTTTCCATGCTTCTCTTTCTCCCTGGTCATATTGTCAATTTTTGGTTCTTCTGGAATGTAAATCCTGAATCAGATGGATTCTCTTCTGCCAGATGACCTTGGGCCAGCTGCCCACATTCCCAATGGGAAAGAGGGAGGATTCTGTAGCTTCCTCTTGAATCTTCCCTCTGGCCTTGGCCCGCCATCTTGAGGCGTTACTTTAGTTGGGAGTTCTTCATCTTAGAGAAATTTGCAGGCAAGGGTATGCTCATTGAATTATTTTTCCTCTTGGAGATTGAGATGTAGTAGATTCCCACTATAATGATGATAACTCCTATTTCTCGAACACTTTGGGGTTTACAGATAGCTGTCCTCACAATAGCGCTGTAGGGTAGAATGTGTAGGTATTATCTCCATTTTTTGTTATTTGGTCATTTTTAGTTGTGTCCGACTCTTCGTGACCCCATTTGGGGTTTTCTTGGCAGAGACACTAGAGTGGTTTGTCATTTCCTTCTTCAGCTCACTTTATAGATGAGGAAATTGAGGCAAACAACAGGGTTAAGTGACTTGCCCAGGGTCACACAGCTAGGAAGTGTCTGAGGTCAGATTTGAACTCAGATCTTCCTGACTTTAGGCTCAGTGCTCTATCCACTGTGCCACCCAGCTGCCATTTTACAGGTTGGAAAACTGAGTCCCAGAGTGGTGAAGAGTCTCAGATAATGACAACAGCCCACATTAATATAGGCTTCAAAATTGTAAAGCTCTTTCTATGTATCTTTTCCTTTGATGATTGCAGCAGCCCCAGGAGCTGAGGGCTACCATGATCCACATTTTACAGATGAGGAAACCAAGGCTGGCCAAGGGAGGAGGATGTGTTGGCTTTGCCACTCTGGCCTCTGTGACCTCAGGCAGCTTCCTTCCCTTCTCTGGGCCTCAGTTTCTCCATCTGTCACATCGCAGGGTTGAAGCAGGGGAGGGCTCATCTGTGATTTGGCCACAGTGTCAGAGTCGGGGCTTGCGCTCAACCTCCTGGTTTCAGTCTGGGGATCGGTCCACCGTCCCGGACATGGTCTCTCACCATGGTGAGTCGCACAGCTTGCTTCTTTTCTTTTCTTTTCTTTTTTTTTAAAGGCTATTGGGGTTAAGTGACTCGCCCAGGGTCACAGAGCTAGTACTTATCAAGAGTTTGGTCTGAGGTCGGATTTGAACTCAGGTCCTCCTGACTTCAGGGCCGGTGCTCTATCCTCTGCTCCACCTAGCTGCCCCTCAGAGCTTGTTTCTTGCCGGAGCTTCTTGCTCTGAGCTCCAGATTGTAAGCAGAAAGCAATCCTGCTGACCACATGGCCCAACCTCTCAGTGAAAATATGTAGCACCAGAACTGAAGCATAAACACTCCAGGACTCTGGGGGTTGGCCCAGTTTTGCAGACAGTAGCTGTGACTCAGTAGTTTTCAGCTATTTACATAAATGGCAGCTGTGAGCGCCTCCTTTTTAAAGAGTGAGCACAATTACTTGGTCTAAAGAGCTTAGTCTGCATTATGCTCATGGAAACTGTGTTCTTTCGGATCCATCCAAACCCTCCCAATTTAGATTTTACCCCCTGGTTCTGCTCCTCATCTTTCCCTCTTGTTTCCACCCTTGGAACCATTCAGGAAGCTTAAACATCTTGTCCGCCATTAGGCTTCTTAAGCAGACATAGACCCATGCATTTGTTTCCCTGTTATTGGACATCTGCATGTGTCTGAGACTCAGAAGCCCTCAGAGCGCTGGCTGCCTTCTGTTTGCATCTAGATTTCATAGTCTGCGGTGTGGAAAGTACCGAGCCGGGGGGGGGCGCAAAGACCCTGTGCTTGGAGCTCTCTTCCTGCGCCACGCATAACTTGTTGTGATGTGAGGATGAGCCCCGGGCTGCAAGCCAGGAGGTCTGGCCTTGCCTCTCCCTAGCTGATCTCCAAGATTCCTTGCAATTCTAACATGTTGTTAAAATTCAAGATCCAAAAAGCATTTATTAAGCGCCCAG